AAGTGCTGGAAAATAGTGGGCATGACCTGTATGTGGGGCTGATATGGGGAGGGGTAATTGAGACTGGATTCATTCTGAAGTATGTTCAGTTTGAGATGTCAACTAGACATCCAGTAGAGACGTCAAGTAGACAACTAGATTTATAGGTCTGCAGTCTGTTGGAGCACTGTGGATAAGAGGTGTAACTTTAGAAGTCTTCTGCATATACTAATTTTTAAAGCCATGAAAATAGATGAGATATCCGTCAGAATGAGCATAAAGAAAAGAAGAAGACCAAAGACTGAGACTGGAAATGTTCTAATTTAGAGACTGGGGAGAAGAAGAAGAGCCAGCAAGGGGGGGCTGAGATGGAATGACCACTGAGGTAGGGTAAATCCCTGGAGAGTAAAGTCTTGGAAGAAATGTGGGAAAGTAGATAAAGAAGAAGGGTATGGTAATCTATTTCAAATGCTACCTACGGGTCAAGTAAATTGACTTTAGTTACTTTGATAGTGATCTTGATGACACCATTTTTAACAGGTGATGAGGAAAAACATAATGAAGTGAGAACATGTGAGAAGGGGGGAAACAACACATATTTTCAGTGTTTTACTACAAAGGGGAGCAGAATAATAGGAAAATATTTCACAGAGAAAGTAGAGTCTGAAAACAATTTTTTATAAAGAGATAACAGTCTACGCACATGTTGATGGGAATGATCCAGCAGAGTGGGAAAGTGATGATGTAAGGTAAAGAAGGGATTATTTCTGGAGCAATGAGCTTGGGCTGAGCAAGAGACAGGGTTTACTATAGAAATGAAGATAGCGACATCAAGTGTGAGTATAACAGTATAGTAAAACTAGTAAATATTTTTCATGTGTTGGAAATAAAGCCAGTGTACACAATTAAAGTGTTATTTCTGGTGCTGTGCTTACAAGTTATAGGCTGAAATAGTCTCTATGATTTTGTTAGCTATACAAAATGTACAATATATTCAAATAAGCCATCTGATTTTTTAAAGTATAAAGTGAAAGAATGTTAAAGATGGAATATTTTAAATTTTTTGGCAGTATTATAATTTTAACATAGCTAAATGATAACCTATCTTCTTAATATGTAATAGGTACAAACCCAAACCTTGTATGTGTCATTAGAAATGTAACTGTGAATAAAGTGTGTCTTTTCCTATATACTAGTATAAGGCAAACACTATAAAGCTCATACTAATGGAGAAAATGTTGGAAAATATACCTAGGAAAAATAAATATTGCTAATATTTTTTTCAGTAATATTAACAAATGGGACAATAGAATGTTATGTTTAAAGCTAGACCTTTGTGTCATATATCACACAAAAAGTACTTAAATGACTGTTTAGAAGATAATATATTCCCAAGAATGGAAATTTAATATGAAAACAAATTATAAAAATTAGTTAGTGTCTCTCATATATCCTGATTTGACTAATTAGTTTTATGTAATCCATTAAAACATCAGTCAGATTACGGTAGCAAATTTGGTAGCATTGGATCATACTACTTACAAATAGGAGCATCTGGCAACAATTAACCTAAGAGGCAATTTTCTTTTCCATAGTTATTATCCACATAAGTTTAAACTCAATTTATGTTATTATTTATATTTATTCAGAGGCAGACTACATGTAAACATGCCCTTCTCTTCTAACTCTCCCTCATCTGTAAAAAAATTCTACTTCAGTTATGGTCTTTGCCCATTTCTCATTTGGATTAAATTTTCTCCATTATCGGTTTGCTGGAAAAAAAAATCTCAGTTACTGTCACTTGCACCAGAGGTGAATGACTACCATTATTAAGTGAAGGGATATTTGTTGCAGCATAAATGCCCCATTTGTTAGACAAAGCAATCTGGTCATCCCAAGATCTACCTCTTCTGTCACCATAGAAAAGCTGGGGCTCTGAGAAAGGGAAACAGGAGCTAATGCTTTACAGGTGACATAAAATTTGCAGTTGGTCTTGACCCGTGCAATGTCAACCCATATCCTTATGTAGATCAACTCCAATCAATTTGTTTGTGTGAGTTTCTGTAAGAGCAAGTGCCCCTTAAGTAACCAAATTCTTGGTTATTTATTCTTTGTCTTGCATGTGGTACAATTGTTTCTGCAACTGCTAGTAAGCAAGGAAGAGTGGTTAACATTATGGTAAACTGAGATGTCTGAACTCTGAGAATTTTTGTTTCCTAAGAGGTCTTGGTGAGTAGAAGTTACACTTATCATTGTAGAAACAGAGATCTATCTATCTATCTATCTGTCTATCATCTCTCCTCACATATATGATACCCCTGCGGAGGCACTTCCCCAATCTTTTATTTTTAAGAATCCCTGATTACAAAGGTCCACCATTACTAAGCACAAAGAGAAATGGATGCTTGCATTCTAGGCTGAGCACTTTATGTAAAAAAAAAATAATGAATAAATAAATAAATAAATATTAAAAATCTATTTTTTGACTATTTGTGTGATGAGTATTCAAAATACATCATTTCAGATTATTGGATGAATTTTGTATTAAGTCTTTAAGACATTGGTTTTTGTTTAATCCTTTAGTCATGTTTCTTTTAATTGAAAAGTTTCGTTACAATTGAAAAGTCCTTTTAAAATAACACCATACTTTTCTTACCACTGCTGCATGGTCAAACACTGTCAGGCTTCTGGTCTCAGGGCATGTCAACAAGAAAAGAAACACAGAAAATGCTACTCTGTTGGTATGGTGAAGCATTTATCTATAGGCCCTGAGCAAGCAATCCCAAGTCTCTTCTTTGTTTTACCATTTTTGTAGACTTCCCACTCAAACTAGAGCTTCTTACTCACTGGATAATCTAAATGAGTCATTAATTATATTTGCTTCTTCAATATATAGAAAGCAAGAAGAAGATGATGAAGTTGGGTATATAGCTTGGGTATATAGCTGTTTTTTAAGCAACAAGGCAAAGTTTAAATTACTTACTGCCATTAACATTGAAGACAATGTTGAGTTGGAATTGTATCCCTTAAATAAAATAGCCTACAAAAAGAATTCTATACTTTGCTAAAACATATCTCCAACATCTATTTAGACTGATAGCTAGGGCTATTTTGTTGGTCTCAAAGGCTCATGATAAGCTCTAAAGCTTGTGTAAATTTGTGGGCATAGGCGTGTGTGTGTGTGTGTGTGTCTGTATACATGAATACATCCACTAGCATTTGAAATAAAAACTTCTATCACTCAACCATATAACTCAAATAATATGTATAATAGGAAGCCACCATATGGAAGATTCACACACTGTGGGGTATAAACATCAAACCCAATGTCTTGAAATATTTAAAGCCATATGTGGTAACAAATGTTTGCATCAGTAACCTGGATGTAAACTGAATTTTTGGTGCAGTATTCATATCCCCTGGCTTAATTAACCTGTATTATATTTCTCTAAATTTGACAATATGAAAATTTATGAGTGCATTTTAATGATTTCTCATGTACTTTCCTATAAGTTTCCTATATTTCAGTAACAATATGAACTCAAATTCTTTGGCAGATCACATTTGTTCCAACTGGAAATAAAAATGTGTTCTGGTTTGGGAAAGGCAAGTTGGGTTTGGGACTGAGATGTAATCAGATGATTTTTGACCATGGTTCATGAAACCTTCATTCCCTCTGGTGAAAACCCAGCATGATAAATTGAATCTTGGGACATGGAAAGTCCCATCACATTATGAATTCTGTTGATAGAATGCTGATGACAAAGAGGTTACAGATTATTTAATTAGCACAATGAGAGCTTTTCAGATTATAAATTTATGGAAATATTTTAAACTAAGCCCTATTTTTATGAAATTTGCTGTTCCTTCACAAATATAAAAAAAAATAGGACAAAGAACTGCAAAAGACCAATGCAGCTCTAAAAAAGCTGTAGGCAGCCCAGCAGAGAGCTGTAGGGCAAAAATTGCCTATAGAGAAGTATTGTGTAGAGAAATCAACACGAGGCCCTAATATGCTAATCATGCTCAGTCATTGGCTGGGGGCTGCCTAGGGAGAGTGTGTATCTGACTCAAATACTGTAATGGATCCCAGAGGTAGACAACTTAGGCTGTTATCTGACTGAACACTATGCAACAGCTTCATTCTTTTTTTATTTAAAAACATATTTTTAATGTTTATTTTCGAGAGAGAGACAGAGTGTGGGCAGGGGGAGGGGCAGAAAGAGAGGGAGACACAGAATCCGAAGCAGGCTTCAGGCTCTAAGCTGTCAGCACAGAGCCTGATGTAGGGGCTCAAATCCACGAGTGGTGATATGATGACCTGAGCCGAAGTCAGACACTCAACCGACTGAGCCACCCAGGCGTCCCCAACAGGTTCGTTCTTAAAGGTATTTCTGAGAGGTACACATTTATTGATTCCACATTAGTAAATACCAGATTTTTAAAAATGCCATTCATAATAACAACAAAAATTATATGTAATAATGACAATAAAGTCCTGTAAGAATTTAAGAAAAAAACATAAAACTATGGAAATAATAATAGAATAACTAAATTCAGAAGTATACAATGATTATGGATGACAATAGTCCATATAAATAATTACTCTACAACGTCAGTGAAATTCTAGTTGATAGCTTAGAAAGATTTTTTTAAATATTTACGAAATATAAGATCTTAAGATATCCAAGACATTCATGAGAAAGATTAACAAAATGAGGAGGCTTATCCTACCAAATATCAAGGCTTATTATAAAGCTGTAATAAATAAAAAAGATAAAAGTCATAGGTCTGCTGGGTGGTAGGGTCAGTGCTTCGAGAGAACATCCCCACAGGGAGACCCGGAAGAGGCTGGCCCCGGAAGAGGCTGGCTGGGCTGCTGAGCCTACTGGGCCAGACAGTAAGAGGCCAGCAGGAAAAACAAGATTCCAGCAGAGACATCAGCTAAAGTGGGTAACTCTAGCCCTAGGAAGACCAGCCCTTAAAAATTGTGGGAGGAATCAGTTCCTGGCTAATGCAAGTCAGAGTCAGAAAGCCAATCAGACAGAGGCCTAGATGTAAAGTTCAGTACTGAGGATCTTAAAGCACAGTCCAAGCAGACTGGGATGCTGGGATGGTGTTTGAAACTACCAAGACAGGCCTGGAACTTCCTTCCAGCCATGAAGCTGGAGGGAGAAGACTTCTTCTACCATAGCAACTGCAAAAAGCCAGGCATCACAGAACTTGTGAAGCATGAAGGAGGCTTACCCAGACCACACACATTTTGAGAAAAACAATCCCCATTATGACCCATACAGCAAAGAAGACAATCCCAAATGGTCCTTGGTAGATGTACAGTTTGTTCCAATGATGAAGCATTTCATTACCCTGGCTGAGCTCAAAACTCATCACCAAGCCCTTAAAAAATATGGCTCTCTTAGAGAGGCAAACCATAAAAGAGACTCTTAACTACACAGAACAAACTAAGAGTTGCTGGAGGGGAGGTGGGTGTGGGATGGGCTAAATGGGTGATGGGGATTAAGGAGCGCACTTGTGATGAGCACTGGATGTCGTATGTATGTGATGAATCACTAAATTATACTCCTGAAACTAATATTACACTATATGTTAACTAACTGGAATTTAAATAAAAACCCGAAACATTAAAAAAATATATGTATGGCTCTCTTTACTCGCCAGAGACTCTCAATTCATCCCCTGACTCTAGAGGAGTTTGATTTTATTTTGAACCTGGAGAAAAAGGAACCAAGTTAACTGGGATACTATTGCTGAAATGTGCAAAACATTACTCCAAAGAAGTTAAGCTTTTAGAAGACAAAAGAAGGTGTAAGGAGGCTTGCTTATTATGTTCACCTGGGATTGTATACATGGGTGGTTTTCATGTACCTTTTTCAATAAAACATTAATATCAAAAAAAAAAGAAAGTAATACACTGAAGAACTTAAAAATAAACCTATCAATATATCATATCTTAATAAATAAATGTGTAAAGGATGGTTTCATCATTTAGTGTTACCAGATAAGTGATTTCATTGCATATAGTTTTAGGAAGGAAATGGAGCCATATTCTATGCCATACTTAAAAATCAAATACAAGTGACATCACCAAGATGGCTACATCTTGGCTGTTCCTGACTTTGATCTCTCTCACAAGAAGAAGAGTTAATATCTACTGAGGAACAAGACACTGCCGAAACAATCCTAAATCACAGGGGTGAGGCTGAAGCATCCCCCACACCTCAGAAACAAGACGGATTGCACTAGAAGGGAAGGAGAAGAGGCTACACTTTGACCACATTGCCCTTTCCCCAGCCTGTGCAGACCATGCAGTGAACTCAAAGGAGTCTTTAGTTCCTCTGGTGGGAAATGAAAACCCAGGGGGAACAGCTAGCCTTCCCAAGCATGTGGGTCACTTTGTGGGAGTTTCTACTGGATCTTGCACCACAGACATTGCGGGGGAATCTGTGGTAAGTTTATATCAGACAAAATATACTAAATTTTTTTTAACATTTATTCATTTTTGAGAGACAGAGAGACAGAGTGTGAGCCAGGGAGGGGCAGAGAGTGAGAGAGACACAGAATCCGAAGCAGGCTCCAGGCTCTGAGCTGTCAACACAGAGCCTGATGTGAGGCTTGAACTCATGAACTGTGAGATCATGACCTGAGCCAAAGTCAGATGTTTAACCGACTGAGCCACCCAGGCGCCCCCAGACAAAATATACTTTAAACTAAAATGGAAAAAAGAGGCAAAACCAAGGTATAATGATAGGAGGGTCAATAACAAGAAGCTATAATAATTGTCAATATCTATGTTCCCAACACTGGAGCACCTAAATATTTAAAGCAAAGTTAACAAAGTTAAAAGGAGAAATAAAGAAATACAATGAGAATTGGGAACTTTAGTACCTCAGTCTCAACAATGGATAGACCATAACCAGTCAGTTAAACAATAAGGAAACTGTGGATTTGAGCAACACTGTAGACCAAAGGACCTAACAGACATATCCAGAGCATTCGAGCCAGCAACAGCAGAATATGTGTTCTTCTCAAGTGCCCATGGAACATTTTCTACGATAGATCATATGTTAGGCCATAAGACGTGTCATAGCAAATTCAAAATTGAAATTATACCAAGCATCTTCTCTGACAACAATGGCATAAGTCTAGAAATCAATAAAAGAAGAAAACTAAAAAATTCATGAACACATGGAAGATAAACATTTCCTTGAATAACCAATAGATCAAAGAAGAAATTACAGGGGAAATTAAGAAAAAATTGAGACAAACAAAAATGGAAACACAACATACCAGACCTTATGGGCTACAGTGAAAGCAGTTTTAAGAGAGAAATTCATAGCAATGAATATCTACATCAAGAAGCAAGAAAGATCCCAAATAAACCACCTCACTTTATGTCTTAAGGAACTAGAGAAAGAATAACAAACTGAACCCTAGGTTAGCAGAAGGCAATGGGGTAATGGGAGGGAGAACTTGAAAAAGGTGATCAAAAGCAACAATCTTCCAGTTATATAACAAATAAGCATAGAGATGAATGTACAAGATGATGACTATAGATAACACTGCTGTATGATACATAGAGAAGTTGTAAGAGAGTAAAACCTAAGATCACAAGGGCATTTTTTCCTTTCTTCATTGTAACTAGATGAGATGAATGTTAACTGAACTGTTATAATCATTTCACAATAATGTAATTCAAACCATAATGCTTAAACCTATACAGTGATGTGTGTCAGTTATTTTTCAATAAAATGGAAAAAATGAAATACAGGAGGATGAAAATCTAATAAGGAAAATATCAGTTTGAAGTTTTTGAAGAAAATACAAAATAATATCTTATGATTGGAAGGAAGAACTATTTTTTTTACATGAGAAAAACAACATAGCCATAAAAAGTAGATAAATTTGACTACACTGAAATTACAAATTTCTGTTGAACTAAACATACAATAAAACTAAAAGCAAATAACAGAGAAACCATTTATAAATTTGACAAGCTAAAAACTATTTATAGTGTATTTTTAAAGCGCCACAATTTCGAAAGTTTAAGAAAAAGTAATAGGAGAGGTGCCTGGCTGGCCCACTCAGAAGAGCATATGATTCTTGATCTTGAGGTTGTGAGTTTGAGCCCCACGTTGGATGTACAGATTACTAAAAAAAACAAATAAATAGAAAAAGAAATAGGAACATGTGTAAATGAAGAGACCAAAGAATTCTTAGAAGCATAAATATGAATTATCAATAAACATAAGAAGAATGGCTGAAACATACTAGTATTTAAAGGAATAACTATTTGCAAAGCCAGATATCCCTTTAAATTTATCTGATTTGGTGAAAAATATTTAAGTCTACAAATACCAAATATATTTTCTTATATATACATAGAGAAATTTTCACAGTAGCATAAGAAGACCAGCTCCAACATGTTTTATTATAGCATTGTCTATAATAGCAAATATCATAATCAACCAAAATTCCCACTAAAAGCAGAACAAATATTTAAATTGTGCTTAAGCCAGGCAGTTTTGGCATAGTGATTTAGAATGATTTTTTTTTTTTTTTTTTTGAGTCACCCTGCCAGTGTGTGAAGTCCAGCTCTATCAACTTTGGGCAAAATGTAGCTCTATGCTTCAGTTTCTTCATTTGTAAAATGGAGGTAAAAATTGTGCCAGCTTCTTATTTTTTGTAGGATGTTTTATATAAATAGACTTCAGAGTAGAGTAAGAGACATAGCATATAGTAATTTTGATCTGTTATTATTAATATTAGTCATATGACAATAGACCGCACAACAGATAAAATGAATAAACTGTATCTATCAATGTGAATGGATTTCATCAGATTGCATTTAAGACATTTTTAAAGGATACATAAAGCATAATACCATTTACATAAAACTAAAACTTGAAAACAATACTGTACATAATTAGCAAGTATGTTCATGTATTGTGAAAGTAAAAAATCATGCATGGGAATTCATCTGTAATTGGAATATTTTATTTTATTAAAAAATAGACCTAAAGAAAATGATGTACAAGTGTATATAAGCATTGCTGGACTATTCTCTATCTTTTTATTAATGCTTGAGATACTTGGTAATTAAATATATTATAGTGTTAATTTACTTTTTCACAAAGAACTCTGCATTTCCCAGGCTCTTATTTTTAATTCCCTTCATTATTCAATTTTTAGCAAAATCTTCTATAGCTCTTAAAACTACAGTTTCACTTAATTATGCAAGTCTTTTTTTGGTAATAGTTAGACCTAGTCCATATGTGTTATGAATTGATTTTACAAGATAAATATGCAATAATCCCATTACTAAAATATTTACACATGTTAATTAATATAAATATTTTGATAAGTACAGAGCATTGGCTATAGAAAGATCATTGTTCCATCAAAAAGAAAAACAAAAAACAAGTAGCATAGGACATTCAAAACAAGAACTGAAGGGTGCCTGGGTGGTTTGGTCAGTTAAGCATCTGGCTCTTGAGTTTGGCTCAGGTCATGATCTCACAATTTGCAAGCCCTGTATTGGGCTCTGTGTGGGCAGTGTGGAGCCTGCTTGGGATTCTCTCTCACTCTCTCTCCATCCCTCTCCTGCTCTGTCTCAAAATAAGCAAATATTAAAGAAACAAACAAACAAAAATTGAAAACCTATGGTTTTCAACCTATGGTGAAAAAGGTATTTCCTTCACAGCTTCTCATGGTGCCTGAACTGTGCATAAACTCCATCTCTTCTATGTATTCTCATTTTGGTAGCCTTTCTGATAGACAAAATAGTCTCTATGGATCCTTCTCAGAACTTGTAATGAGGGGTTTGCTTCATTCAGACAAGGACTTGGCAAACATTTCTATGATGAGCAAGACAGTAAATATTTTAGACTATGTGATACATATGACCTTGGTCACTATACTCAACTTTGTAATTGTAGGGCAAAAGACAAAGGCATAAACAATATGCACATGAAAGGGTGTTAGAACAAATAGGTGATTGGCTTCAATTTCGAGCTCTGAGTCTAAGTTTCTACAGTGATATAGTCCGACTCTCATACCTTATCAGAGACCAAGGAGAGGTCATTACTTTCCTTTTAAAAGATACAGCGGAATAGATTGTGGCAGTGCTTTATTCCAGAAAACAAACACTATGTTGAGTGGTTCCACTTTGGGAAGTGCCCAAATAAATCCATATTAGCTATGGACCTTATTAACTAATGAATAAGGACCAAGAAGAAAGGTTAACTATTCTTAAACCTTCTGGTCACTGAATAATCTCTGCATCAAGTTTCTGACAGATTCTATTTTTTATTGCTACCAGTGAGAATATACCAAAATATGATCCTTTCCAAGTAGTCGAGGTAGTCATTTTTTATTACACCTATTGCTTGGTGGAATGGCCTAAGATTATCTCTGACCTTGGAAATGACTCCAAATAACCCCATTCACTGATATCTAAGGACTTCAATGTTGATTGTCCCAACAATGATTTTATTTAAGCTAGTGGTCCACGAGTTCATCTACAGCCCTTTACATGATTACACAAGCTGAAAGCCTATGCTTTCCACTCGTTCCATTCTCAGCCATGCTCACTCATCCTGCCATCAGTGTAATGCATCAGTTGTGGCACTGTTGGCAAGTTTAGATACCTATCTCTGTGAAATTGCTATGGCAAAATGTAGGGAAATTCACACACTTGTTTGTTTTCTTTTTAAATGTTTATTTATTTATTTATT